CGGGGCACTAGGAGCGGGAGTAAGTGCGATTTATGTTTTGGAGTCCACGTAGCTTTAAAAAGACGAGCTTTTCCCGCAATAAAGCATTACTGAATTCACAAAAATTGGTGTTTTAGGAATATAGCTACTGAAGTAGGAAATGTTTATGGCTGTTATTGCACGTAATGAAATATCCAGTCTTGGATGGCTTAAAGATGTCTGGTTGTTGTCAAGTACCTTATAAAACTTAACAACATAGACACCCTGTATAGGGTTTCTGAAGGACAGCTGATGGGTTTAAACTGCTGGCCTTTCAGTTAGCAGCCCAGTGCTTATCCTAGTGCCACACCTGGACTTCACAGTGATTACTGTTATTAGGTACCATTAGTAGGTTCTGACTCACAGCAGCCTCATATATAGTTTCCGAGGAGCAGCTCTGATAGGTTTGAACCATCGATCTTGCTGTTAACAACCCAGTGCTTATTCTACAGCGCCACACAAAGATTTCATCAACACCTATATTGGTCTGCATTTGAGGAATCGGTCTAAAAGAAGAGTTCAGTGCTCTGGCTGCTGTTGGAAAGTGTGTATTTCTGAAAGGTGTAACACATATTGACAGTTTCGTGTATGTATATTTCACCTTAAAATTTAAGCCTGTCAGGGTTAGAAGTGAGTGCAGTCCCTTGGATATTTATAAAACATTAAACAGAATCGTGCTAGAATCGACTCAAGACAGATAACAATAAAAAATAAAAATTCTGTCTATAGATCATTTAAACTCAGCGTCTTCTATTTCTCTGGGCCACCAGGGATAGCGCACAAATTGATCTCATCACAAAGGATAGGGCTGTGGTTTCACATTCTGACTATATCACACTTGTGCTCAAAATCTAGGCATCAAAGCTCCCCATGACAGCGAAACTGCTCAAGCTGGGCTCCCAGTCGCCCTTCTCTAGCATTCCTTTGCTGTTCAAGGAGTCGGTACCGACTCATAGTGACCCTGTACAGGGTTTCCGAGGCTGTAAATATGTACGGGAACAGAAAGCCTTATCTTTCTCCCATGGAACAGCTGGTAGTTGACCTTGTGGTTTGCAGCCCGATTTGTAACCACTACGCTACCAGAGCATTCACTATGCTACCAGAGCATTCCGTTAGGAACAGTCAAATCAGACTGAAGCATCATTTGTCACTTGACCATTTTGGAGAATGAGGCACTGCACTTCTACTTGGAGTAAATTATTCCTGTTCTTTCCACATCTTCCCCTGGAGATCCCGACTGCAAGGTTCACACTCCTGCTCCGGGTGTGGTGCTGTAGGATAAGCATTTGTTACTGAAAGGCCGGTAGTTCAAATCCACCGATTGCTCTTTGGAAACCCTAGACATGGTCGCTATAAGTTGGAACCTTCTTGACAGAACTTAACAACAATATACTTACTGTAAGGAGCACAGGTAGTGCCGTAGAGTAAGCATTAGACTTCTAACCTTGGGAGAAGGATGAGGATGGTTGCTACCACAAAGATTTACATAGAAGCCTCAGAAACCCAAAGAAACGGAATTGACTCGAAGGCAGTGTTTTTAAAATTTTTTAATCACTGTATGATATAACAAGGTTCCTCAGAAATGGGACAAGGTTCTAGGAGTCACACTTTAAGAGAGACCAGGGACAACAGCAACACAAAAAAGAAGACTTATGTGGCCTTTGATAGTCATATCTCTGTCTTGAGCTTTCTAAGCGCCTTCCCCAGGCCCTACCATTTTTTATGCTGTCAACATCCTTGGGGAGTCCTGGTGTGACTCTGTTAGGATAAGCACTGGACTGCTAACCACAAAGCTGGTGGTTCAAACCCACCAGTCACACCTTAGAAACTCTATATTGGGTTAGTATGAGCCAGAATTGACTTGATGGTGCTTAACAACAACAAAAACAACATCCTTGGCTGCTCCCAATGTTTTCAAATAGAATATGAACTGGACTGTGAACCACAAGGTTGCTTTGTAGGAAAAAGATGAGGCTGTCTGCTCCTACAAAGATTTATAGCCTTGTAAACCCTATGCAGGTGGAACTGACTCAATGGCACTTAACACCACCACCACCACCACTACACCTAATAACTCTTAAGTTTTATGAGCACATTTTAAGAAAAAATCTTTCTTCTAAGCTCTATGCCCAACTGTCTCCTTACACCGAACCCTAATCCTTCCTCCAAACTTGTCCTCTCCCTGCCACCTATCTGGGTAAATCAGTTCTGAGGAATTATCCGTATGCCTCATTGTCTCCAACATGGAGCCCAGCTCGAAATGTTTTCCATTCCATTTAGAGCAGTAATACTTCAGGGTCGATCTTAGATTAATTAGTATGCTTTCTTTCTTTTTCTTTTCTTTTTTTATCTAGCAAAATAGATATTTTGGGTTTCTGAAACATTAAGAGAGACTTTGGTTTTATGACAATTCTGATTGCACATTAGAACCTTTGGGATTCAATACTTGGTATAAATGGAGAATATACAATTTACAATCACTGGAATAGTTAGAACTTCTGCAACAACATTACTTCCCTAGAAACCTGGAGTAGAAACTTTCCTTAGAACAGCCAAAGTAGAAACTTCTTAGGGATTGAAAGGAACTTTTGTCTAAAGGGCAGAAATTTCTAGAAAGCTGTGAGTCAAACCAGTAAACTATTTTTTTATCATAAAATGGAAGAATAATAATCTGCTATACTGTTGAGTCCTGGTGTGGCACTGTGGGCTAATGCATCAGACTGCAAAGTCGTTTGAATTGCAAGGTTTGAACTCACCAGCTGCTCCTTGGAAACCCTATACAGGGTAGCTATGGGTTGGAATCGACTCGATGGCACTTAACAACAACAACAACATAATGTTGAGTGCATATGGTCCATTTCCTCCCCTTTTTTCCTTTGAACTAATACAAGTGGTTAAACTTGAGATATTCAAGTAGACCATGTGGCATGAATTCACTGGTAAAGAATAATTTGCTGTCTAACAACACTAAAAACAATAGAAAAGATAAGATGAATATTCTAAAGTACTACTAGATTCATATAGGTATGTTCATTGTAGTTTGGGGATGTTATGCCATAAATTTTCTTTTTACTTTACAATTTGAATCTGTGCATTTATTTGTATTGATCCACTAAGTAACAGCCTCTCTTATTAGGTAAGTCTGGCATGGGGATATTTTGGCTCAACCTACTACTTCTTTCTCTCTGAGACCCAATGGAAACTCAATAACATCTTTTGGATGTATGAAGACCCAAAGGAAACAGCATTGTGTATGTATAAAGGAGCTTCAAAAAATTCATGGAAAATGGAAAGAGAATTTTTCTATGAACTTTTTATAGCTTCCTCATATACATGTACACCAGAGTCCTGGTGTGGTGATGCAGATTAATGTGCTGACTGCAAAGTTGGTTTAAACCACAAGGTTGGTGGTTCAAGCTCATCAGCTGCTCCTTGGAACCCCTATATAGGGTCACTATGGTCAGAATCAACTCGACGGCACTTAACAACAACAATAACATATATGTACCTGGCTATCATTTCAAGGAATACATATATATATATATATATATATATATAAGTATATATATAATTTTTCTATAAATCATGTTTTAATTTAGGGGCACAGCTATAATTTAAAACTCTGACTCCTCAAACCAAGGGAAATTGCAAAGTCACTATCCCTCAAATTATGTTAATCTGATGTCAAGGTTTATAAATGAAACAAGTAAGAGAAAAAAAGCAGGATTCTGGGTCACTTCATGTACAGTTATATGTATGGTTTCTATTCCTCATGCATGGTGTGATGTGCTACTTCGGCATCTACTATTGTATTCACAAGGATCATCTTCCTCTGTTTACCAATTTAATGACAAGCTGACTATTATGTCTAAGTATGTCTGTCCCTAAAATCTAAGTGAATACAACATCTAAGAGTAAATTTAACCTGGGATGTGAAGGTATTATACAATAAAATTATAAAACTGCTGAAATAAATATTTACTGATTGGAAGACTTAATATGTTACAATATCAATTCTACCCAAAACAATCTATAGATTCAGTGCAAAACCAATAAAAATGCCAGTTACTAATAGCTTTCTTTACAGAATGGAAACACAAACCCAAATAGCTAAAGCAATGTTGAAAAGTAGAAGTCACATTTCCTGATTTTAAAACATATTATACAGTTACTGGGATCGTGGTGGCTCTGTAGGATATGTACTGGACTGCAAACCACAAGGTAAGCAGTTTAAGCCCAGCCACGCCTCAGGAGAAAGATGAGGCTTATTGTTCCCACAAGGATTTACAGCCTCAGAAAAACCTAGACAGGGTCTCTCTTAGTTGGAACTGATTCAACTCACTCACAGCAACATACAGTAATAAATGAGCCTAGTGCTAACATCACAATACACACATAGACCAATGGATTAGAACTGAGAGTCAGGAAACAAACCCACACAACTGGGTCAAATAATTTTTGACAAGAGTGCTAACTCTATCTGATGGGGAAAGAAGAGTCTTTTCAATAAATGGTGCTGGAAAAACTGGGCTTCCACATCCAGACAAATGAAACGGAATCCATACCATTATTTTATAAAAATAAAAATATATTAAAGACCTAAATGTATAAATTAAAACCATAAAATTCTTAGAAGAAAATGTAGAGGAAAGCTAGACTTTCAGGTCTAGCTTTCAACAATGGATTATCTAATTTAATAATAAATGCACAAATAACAAAACACCGTAACTTCCTTATATCCATAAATGGGACCT